AGTGATGAACCTTATGTGAGTTAGACGTGCTAGCACATTACCACCTTGTTGATTTGTGGGCTGCAGATCGTGGAAAGAGGGTCAGAAGGGTTGTGGGTAAAATATTTTTGTTGAACCATATGTTTTTTAGGAACAAGCGTGGTGTGGAGGTTGACATAAGTGTTTTACTATTGGAATCAGTCATCTCGTATTGTACAGTTGATGTGATTAGATGCAATCATGCAAGAAACTTAATGCTTCTTATTATGTATGGTTCTTTCCCAGGTTCTCTCTGTTGTTGGGCTTCTTCAAGATGAAGTTGATCCAATGGTCTCCGTCATGAAGGTTGAGAAGGCACCTTTGGAATCATATGCTGACATTGGTGGTTTAGATGCTCAGATACAGGAAATTAAAGAAGCAGTTGAGCTTCCTCTAACACATCCTGAACTGTATGAAGACATTGGTATCAAGCCACCTAAGGGAGTCATTTTATATGGAGAGCCTGGGACTGGGAAGACTTTACTTGCAAAGGTGTGCAGTTTTTTGTGTTTTTTATAAGGTGTTGGAATATAATTCAACATCTTTTCTTTTTCTCATTTCCTCTGTTCAATATTACGGGGTTTGAAATTCTTTTCTCATGTCTACTTGTGGAAAAAAGTGATTTGGGCAATTATCTTGTTTACTTGATTTGTGGATTACAAAGTGTTTTTTTTATGACATTGTCTGCAATCTGCATTGATTTATATTTGTCATATTACGTTCTGAAATTCTGTTATTTTCTAGCTAGTAATCATTGGCTTTTCGAATCCTGGATGACATTTTGTAACCCTTTTCTTTCGAGACTTCCTATTATTTAACAATCTATGTACAAAAGAAAAATCTTTTCAAGTGTTAAGCATAACCAATGATTGATGAAGATAGAAAAATTCACTCTGATTTTGTTGAAATTATATGGTCATAGCAGTTTAGTGAGGAAATTGAGAGAACAGAGACTTCGAAGAATTTTTTTCCTGAGTATTGTGACGTGTTACAATGGTAGAAACGTAGAAGTACCAGCCTTTATTTATACTAATACTAGATTATAATCCCAAATTCCTAATTAAATAAGGAAATAAATTGTGAGATAATAAGAAAACATGGAAACTAATCCTTAAGACATAATGTAATATACTCTAAATAATTCTAAAGAGATGATCAAGGTACTGTAGGAAAATTCTCATATATATTCTAACAAGTATGAACCTTGGAGTTTCTTCTACCACTTAGCATCTAAAGTCTGGGTGAGTGTATATTAGGTTTAATTTATTTAATGTGCGGCTTCAAGTGGTTTTATAACAGACACTGTTAAATACGGTTTATAATATTATGTCTGTTGATCATGTGTGCGCGACAGTGTTTTTTTATCCTTTCTCCTGCAGAAAAAAAAAGGGGTGGTGGGGTGGGGGTGGGGTTTGCATGCATGTTTAACATATTGAGAACAATTAGGCTAAAATTATGTTCATATTGTATATTGTGTAAGCTTTTGAAAATTCTATATCAAATTATATATTCCTTGTAGGTGTTAGACATCATTTAACTCTGAACTCAGTTAAAAAGTTATAGTTTGCATTTGGAGACAACTAAGAAAGCCTGCACTTATTTTTCTCTGTTGATTAATTAAAGTTGATTTAGTACGTTGTGATCTTTACAACAAATGCAATTCAACCAGTATGTAGTTATGATACACATTCATTGACTCATGTCACACTGTTTCAGCTATTTTTAGTATGGCCTGTGGTTTAGTACACACTGCACAATCAGTTTGCTCTAACACAGTCTTATTTACTTTCAGGCTGTAGCAAACTCAACATCAGCAACATTTTTACGTGTTGTTGGCAGTGAACTAATACAAAAATACTTGGGAGATGGTCCAAAACTTGTGAGGGAACTTTTCCGAGTTGCTGATGATCTTTCCCCATCTATTGTCTTCATTGATGAAATTGATGCTGTTGGTACAAAGAGGTACGTTATTGAACATCAAGCTTAGAACACTGTGTTGAGACATTGTCAATCCTCATTTCTTGATTTTTATTTTGGGAGGGGCGCAATGGGTGTGAGACTGGTAGAGGGGTGATATCTTGGATCATTTCTTAATATACCTTATATCATTGCAGGTATGATGCTCACTCAGGTGGAGAACGTGAAATTCAAAGGACTATGTTGGAGTTGCTGAACCAGTTAGATGGTTTTGATTCAAGAGGAGATGTAAAAGTGATTCTTGCAACCAACAGAATTGAAAGCCTTGATCCAGCTCTGCTGCGACCTGGCCGAATAGACAGGAAGATTGAATTTCCTCTCCCTGATATCAAAACAAGAAGACGCATTTTCCAGGTAGGCATGGCTAGTTTTGTAAAAACAACAACCCGCATACTGTTTGTACTTATTCACTGTGATATCTTAATATGAAAATACTACTTAATTAAATGACTTAAAGGTCTCGTACTTCTGAAATTTAGATACACACCTCGAGGATGACATTAGCTGATGATGTCAACTTAGAAGAATTTGTTATGACTAAGGATGAGTTCTCTGGAGCTGACATTAAAGCCATATGTACTGAAGCTGGCTTACTTGCTTTACGGGAACGGCGAATGAAGGTTAGAATTTCTTCTATATATTTCTACAGTTATGGCACTCTGTTGCTGTCAGGAATTAGAATTTAGTAATACGACAAATAAGCTCAGTTTATGGTCTACATTCATATATTAAGATACAATATGGCATAGGTTGGTTGGATATTTCAAGTTTAGACATATCAAACTTTCTCAGCCTACATCACATCATTGATGAAAGTGGCAGAAAAAAATTGAGGGGTTTGAGGTGCTAGAAAAATTGAGGAAATATCTCCCCCTAAATCTATCTCTTGGAATTTAGTTCAAACGAGTTGTTATATTAAGAAATGGTAGCATGCAAATGCCATCATAGCACCTTAAATTTTTGAAAACAAACGTAAAAAGACATTGGTATTGGATGTAAAACATTTGTAATTCCCTGCTTCCTAACCTAGACTAGATCATAGAGTTCCTACTGTTTTCCCTGTAAGAACAGGGTTTCAATGAATTGAATCTGTCAATTTTCTTTTAATGCTGGAGCAGAAGCAATGTGCCAATAAATACAAGATACCAACATTCTATGTCTCATTATTTTTATGCTTTTTCATATCTTGTACTTCAGGTGACACATGCCGACTTTAAGAAGGCAAAGGATAAAGTTATGTTTAAGAAGAAAGAAGGTGTGCCAGAAGGACTGTATATGTGAAGTATCATCCTCACTTACCCCGGCGTTCTTTCTTTATCATAATCGTTTTCTTGTTCTGTGAACAAAAGTTTACCCTTTTTTCCGGTCCAAAGATGTTTACTTGTTTGTATTTTTAATTATGGTCGGTTTTGGCCTTAGTTATCATGGGATTTAATCTCAACTATAGTTACATATAGTTTTCTTCGATTTCAAAAATTTGGAAATTTTTTTTCCATATTCCTTATTACGAAGGAACCCGTCCGTCCAGTCTTTCATTCTTGTTAGTAATATGCATGCCTTTTGTGTCTCATTAATGTTATGTTTTGGAGTAAGCGTGGAGAAACTGCTCAATGCAGTCGGTTTACTTTTAACAGGATCAAGCTCCTGCTTTTCTGTTTAGTTCCTTGGAGATATACCTTAGCTTCGATCACACTTTGAGATACTTGATTTTCCTTCCTAGCAAGTCAATTCTCGTTATGGATTAATCATGATGGACATAATATGCGGGGGTTGGGGAGGGGCACCTTCGTCTAATGTTAATGCAATTTAAGTCAACGTTTCATAGTCTCTTAACTTCACCCGGTTTGCATATGGCATGTTATATAAAATAATGTTAGCAAAATAAACTGGGAAGTAGTGCCTATCGGCCATCGTGTCTCTTCAATATGATGACCGTGGAATAATACCCTACTGATAGATACTGCGACCAGCATGGTTGTCTTCGTCTACTAATTTTCATTAACTTGACGAAAATTGTTTAATTCTGCACAGCCAAGAAACTATTAACATAGCTAAATAAGTCATCGTTGGATTGACAAACTGCTCAAGCAGTTCTCATTTAAACTGGAGGATCTGTCCAAAGCATTTGATGTCCACTGAAAAAGTAAATAATTTCTATTCAAGCCGAAAAAATGTTAAGACTTATTATTAGTTCATCAAGAAATTTTCCATGTGTTGATTTCAACACTTTTTGTAAGCGGAAAATTTTAGCTAATAGTTGGACTGTGTTAAAAAGAATATATTAAAGAGTTCGTTTCAAATATTATTCCAAGAAACAATGCCTGAATGGAAAGAAAAAGACCCAAATCCACGTCATAAAATGAAAAATGCTACTTGCAAATCTTTGCGCCTCACATAGGATTTTGAACATAGTTATAAAATATAGTTATGAATAAAAAATAAACTGTAATAAACCCCAAAAGTCGAGCGAATGTAAAATGCCATGTGATCCCATGATCATGATCACCCTGGCTTTTGGTGATATTCAGGATACCAGCTTAACACTCATTTTGGACGTCACAATAATTTTGAGATTAGATACATCCAGAGTAATGCTTTGTCTCTTTTTCTTTGCCATATATTAGGTACCTATATTAATTAATTGCTCAACAGAGGTAGTTTTATTTTGTTGAAGGAATGAAAGATAAATTAACTAAGTTCAAGCAAAGCAAATTGTAATAAGACCCCCTAAAAATACTCCAAAACAAGCAAGTGCATGTTTCCATAGCTCAAATCAAATCAAAATCACGCTAATTTCAAAGACACTTATTCATGTATACTCGAATCATTAGCAGAATATCCTAAATCATCATTTTCGATCGGCATAAATATCACTTCTAAAATCTGATGTTAGTTGTCACACTTCATATTTCCTTAAAGCATTAATACAAGTATATTAGAAAAATTCCAGTTATCCACATTAAGGAAGGCACATAAAGCAACAAACTCCACACACCGCCATCTAGCTAGGGAGAACTGTGACTCGGTATAACATTTATTGAGGACTTGCGGCGTGACCTTGCCCAGAACATTATTCGACTTGCTTGAATCAAGCCCACAAGTGCAAGTAAGAAAGCCCAACTACCAACCAAAACATAGCCCATATTACGAATCCTATAGTAAATATGATTAGGGCTAACCAAGCCCAATGCCCACATGTACGTGAGGAGCATGCACGAAGCGGAAACTATCATCAAAACAGCCAATACCCACATGATGACCTTGTTCTCAAGTGGAAACCCGCTTATGAGAACCAACACCACACACAGAGATGAAAAGAAAGAAGCAGTGTTGAAGAAAACGAATTTTATAAAATCTGGTGACCAAGCATAACCTACAACCGCAGTGCCTGCTTCACAGAAACCATACTCAACGCATGCATGCCCATCGCTTGTTGTATCTGATTGCCATACACCCCCCGGTGGACTTATCACTGACTGAAAAGTCATTGTAGCAATCACAGTTGCAGCCACCATCAATTGCTCTCTTGTCTTTTTGTCTATGAAGTTACCTTGGCTTAGCAAGTAGGTTCTGCAGAAACTCTCTAACCTGTTCCATCTACTGTTCTCATTATTATTATTAGGAATGCTTGATGATGTCACTGTACGTTGGAGAGGACCATTGCTTGATGATGAGGGTGATGATGATTGTGAAGGATCATTGTTTGGTGAGGGGGTTGGTGTTTGTTGAGTATGAAGACTAGTGCTTGGTGATGGTTGTGGAGGATCGTTGTTTGGTGATAGATGTGCTGGTTCAGGATCATTGCTTGATAAAGGGAATTCTGCATGTTGAGGACCGTTGTTTGGTGAGGGTAGGTTTGGCGCTTGTGGAGGGACATTGTTGCTTGGTGAGTGTGCCTCTTGTTGCACAAATACAACAGCTATGTTTTGTGAGGGCGTTGGTTTCGTTTGTTGTTGGCTAACTTGGGTTGGTGACGAAACTGGTTCTTGTGCAATAACTTCATTTTGAACTCCTTCAGTTAAAATGTGTTCAATTGTAAGATTAACAAAATCTCTAGGATAGCGCTTCAAAATTTCCATAACTGTTAAACCCTCCTTATTCAAAGTATTTATTGCTGTACTCATTTCGGAGAGTGAAAGCAAGTATTTAATTATCTGCAATGTTAATATACATACAAAAAAGTTAAATTTCTTATGTATGTAAAAGTATCTCTCTGACTTGAATGATTGTATTCTTTGACAAAATTGGCAAAAGGTAGCCTAAATTCATTTGGTGCATAACTGGTAAATGCCTTAAATATATATTTTTAGTTAGTAGATTTTAAAAATTTCTCTGAATAATTTATTTTGTTTTGATATTTGTATTTTTATGAATTTTTTTTCTTGTAGTCTTTATTATTAACGTGATCCATTAAAAGATTATCATACATTAATTTTTAGTTATACTATGTTAGTAAGAGAGAATAAAAACGAAATTGCATGAAATTAAATGTAGGGAGCTAAACTATAAAAATTAGTTCCGAATAACTAAAAAAATTGTGATTCAAAAACGTATTCAGACCAACAGTAAATTGTACCTTGATTTGTCTGCGTCTCACCGCTAAATGCAGAACAGTGTAATCCTCTTTGTCCTTGGCTGATAGGAATTGATGGTCTCCTCTCACTAATTCCACCAGCAATTTCAAGGCCTCTAAATGGTTATAGCGAACGCACAAGTGAAGAACAGAACCATCATCAGTCGCAGTCATCTCCCAAATGGAATCTGGCTTAGCTTTGATCAACTCCTTGATGGCTTCCACGTGCCCTCTCATTGCAGCAAAGTGGAGAGGAAGCATGTCATCTTTGTCACGAACCAAACACATTTCTTGGTTTGTGAGCAAAAGGGCTTTCACAATCTGAGTGTGCCCTTTAGCCGCAGCCAGATGAAGAGGGCAACGTCCTTCTGAGTTCAGTTCAGTGGCTAAACTTGGGTTTTTGAGAAGAAGAACTTGACAAAACTCCAAGTGTCCAAGCAAAGATGCTATGTGTAATGGGGTTTCAGAGAAGGGATAGAGTGAAACTCTGATCAGAATAAGAGGGTCTCTTTGAATCAGTGTGTTTAAGGTATTTACACATCCGTTTAATGATGCTTCATAGAGTTCTCTCATTGCATCATCTTGTAATTTTGGATATGCCAAAGTTTCCATTAGAGGAATGTTGGAAGTCTCAATTAGTCTCTCACAAGTTAATACGATCTTCAACAAATGTCGATTGATATGTTCAATGACGTTATAAAAATAATATTTTTTTATTTAAAAAATATTTGTTAAAATTTAAATATAATAAATATTTAAATAAAAAATTATTACTTTTAGATAATTAAACGGAAAACTTTGTTGACTACGTTTGATGCCAGCCGGCAAGTATATTATTTTATTCTGTCGTGCTACATGCTTGAACTCAAAACGGTTGGATTCTCTGTTTACTGTTGGCGTTTAATTCATCTACATATCATAATCGAGCAATAGAAATTATTATCATTATAATTATCTTTACGATTCTTAATAGTTTTACTGTATTCAAAGAAAGTTACATCTTATAAAAAAATATATACTTGTGACATCAAATAAAGAAAAAGATAGAGTTATTTTTTTAATAACGTATATTTTTTTATTGATAGGATAAGAAAAATAATGGGGAATGAGATTGGCTGTTTTCATCCCATGGCTTGCTCACGGGTCAACTGAAATTTGTGTTACAGGGTCTTGAGATATAATAATGAACATAATTCAGCTACGTCGTTGGGTTAGGCCACATATCATTATTATTTTCCTTTGTTAATATTGATGATCATGTCCTTTTAGAAACGTGGTTCTTTGCTGTTCTTTTTTTAGCAAATATTTAATGATAATCAAAGAGTTTTGAATGAATTTTAAACATATTGCTTTGCATAGGGATGCTTTCATTCATACCTTTTATCCAATTTTCACTTTGTTTTTTCTAGAATGTCTTCCTCTAAACTAATATTTTGTAGCTTTTATAGCTTAGGATTTAGATATGATCAATATTGTTCAAATACTCAATCTTCCATGTTTAGTATGAACCTTGTCTCTTTCTTAATTAACTGTTTGGTAACCGATAATTGCACCAAAACATACTCTATTAAGAAGCTGGAAAAAGTTTAAACCTAACTATTCAAAATAATCTAATTCAAGCATAGACTAGAACTAAGTGGTAGAAAAAAGTTTCTATTCTAAAAGTATGACAAGTTACAATATTTGCAATGATACTTATAGACAATAATCTAAACGTTTTAAATAACTCTGTTTTACAGCTGAACTAACCATCACTTTAATAGCCTCAACTTTAATTTATACAGTCAGTTTGCAAAAGGTAATTTGCCTTTCATATATTATTTGTAGAGATTGAAGAAAGAAGAGTATTTCCCATTCCCTGTCCTCTCGAAGATAATAATCTAAATGGAAGGATTGATGGAAATGTTTTCATCTAGATAGACATCTTACTAGTTGAGCATTAAACTTAATTGCACGATTCTTTTACTCTTTGCCTTGCATGTTCTACTATGGAGCAATTGTAGACATGGCAGCAGACTCCTTGGGCTAGCTCAAATGAGGATGTATTTTCTTTGTTTATATAGTCTCACAGAGGATATAAAAATTTCAAGTGTTACTCAACTTTTGAAAAAATTGAAACGTTGCATATGATTACTCATTATAATATTTAGTGCTTTAAAAATCTTTAGTTTAGCTCACTTAATTAAATTTAAATTTAAATTTGGATTTATTAGTTTAATAAAACAAATGATATATTGGACAAAATATTTAACAAGTTAAACTTGGCCAATTCACAGAGACTTTACTCATGCTTTTTAAGTCTCAACCTCCTTTACTTATTTTTATTAAACTATGTGATTTTTTTTCTTTAAATTTTTCAATATTTTTAAATTTAAATATATTTTTAAGTCCTCACATTTTAATGAATTTTTAGTTATAGTCTTTTTAAATGAAATTTTTATTTTAGTTATAGTCATAATAATAATAATAAATAAATAATCATTTCCTTTAATTTTTCATTTATAAATTACATCTAAATTAAAAGAAAAAATTCGTATAATACACGAAACTAGTTCAGATTTGGGAATATCTGCTCATATTTTAAATTTTGCAGCAAGATTTGCAAGTTCTTTACAGCCCAGCAGCCTACTGATGTGTTTTTGTCATGTCTACACATAAGCACGAAGCAATGCTATTCACCAAAAGAGAAACACAAATTGCTACTAACTTTTAATTTAACTAAATGGTAAGCTCTTAATCCCTCACTCTAATTACATATTTTGTGAGTAACGGTACTTTAATTTTAAAATTTTATTTAAATTTCCCTATTTTAGTGGACTAAAACATACCGTAACAATAGAGCCATCTGGGTGATGTAGATCAAGAACTGCTTCATTTTCACTCCTAATCAGTAGCGTCCATAGGCTGCTTTAACGCCCAGTAGGAGAAAATTGATAGTACATGCGAACAGAACAAGAATGTGAATCAGGAGGAGGACTACACGTTCATCTATTGCAAGAAAGTGGCCTCCATGTTTGGCGTAGAATGGACGTTCATCTGTTGTACCATCTATTCATTTCCTCCTCCCATATCAAAGAATCTCTCGGAACAGCGAAAATTTAAGATGGGAACGAATATATGATAAAAGAAAAAGAATAAGAAAACTTAGCTATAATAATTTACATGTTGCCGTGTATAGATTAGCTTGCTACTGAGAACTGCTAAACAGTTCTTTTTATCTCTTTTACACTACAAAATTTGGTAGCCGTAGTATAGGTGCCTGAAAATCTAACCTGCAATGCACACAGTTGTTAATGATGGTTATCCTTGTTTTCAGAAATATCATGTATTCGGGACTTACAATGCACACTGCCATTTGGTAAAAGCTATACAATTATATGCCGCACCAATTGAATAGTCAGCCCTTGATTGTAACTATCAAACAATCAATTCTCTCCTGAATGTCATAGAAGAAATTTGAAATATTTAGAAGTAGCAATATACTTTATAATATCCAGAAATAATCAGTAGAATTTTTATGCGTAGCAAGCAGAAATTATTGGTGATAATATCAAAAGGACAACCGAAAAATTGCACACTCCAGTTGGTTCTGAAAAATAAATAGCATACTTCTTTGACACGGTAAACAACCAAATGTGGAAATTAATGTGCTCCAGAAGCTTATATGACACAAGAACACAGCACAAAACAAAATCGTTAAGACCCAGACTGCATAAGAAACAATCCTTTTCTTTCCGCCCAAATTAACTAATCGAATATTGTAGAACACTAGGATAAGGTAATTCACCTGACTAATGGTTTTCTGGATTCTCAGGGCCCCTACTGGCGCTTGGCCTGCTAACATTTGGTTGATTCACTGCTTGATTCTACACACCGAAATGAATCTCATAAACGTCCATATATATCTTTGTGATCAATTAAAAAAATAAGGATAATAAGCAACTTTGCAAAACTAGAGTTTCCTTTGCAGTTCTGAGAGATTTTCCCCTCCCAACTAAGAGGGAGTAAAAAATAAAATCGGAATTATGATACCTCAGAATAACAAGTTTTCCACACTACGTGGCTTGCGAACCAGAACATTATTACAAGACGCACCAAACTAAAATAATTTATGTCGTTGTGGCAGAGAAATCTAATGGATCTGTCGTGCAACACTTCACTTGGCACATGGTTTTCAGAAGTCCAAATCAGGAGTAATATTAGAGGATAAAATACCTGAATTAATTGAAACTGCGTCTGTTGGGGACCAAGGTATTGATAAGGATCAGTGAAGTTCGGGATACGTGACTGATTTGGTTCAGGTGGACCCGCAGAGGTGGCCATATTGATATCAGCTGAGTGATTTGCTGCTTGCATTCTAGATGAATCAGGTGCAGGAACATGTGGCATGTGGAAAGGAGGCATAGCAAACCTTGGTCCCAAATGAGCAGCTGCAGTTGCTGCTGACAAAGCCGAACCAGGTAACATATTGGGAAATGGCATTACTGGTCTGTTCATTCCCATTTCCATGCCAATACCCATTCCAATTGCTGGCATATACTGCTGGATTCCAGGAAACATCATAGGTACCATGCCACATCCCATGGACATCATCTGCATGAGTACCCCTCTCTTTTTGTGTAAAAAATAAAGTATATGGCCATGTAATGTAAATAACTTGTTAAGATAAAAAGTCCCTCAGTTGGTGGGTTAGTAACATGTAAAGGGCATATAACTAAGAGGTCGCCTTAAGCATTTTAGATAAAGAAGTCTGTAAAATTTCTAGCCCACTCATTAAAATTCTAATATAACCACACTTGACAGTATATGTCCTTTCTAATACTTGTTTACGCTTCAATAAATAATATTAAAATCCTTCATCTGAATAACATAATACAATATACGGCATCCGTGGTCTGTCGACTTCACGATTGAAAGATGTAAATTTTCTTTCTAAAGAAAATTTATTTGAAGTATACAACATTCTATCTCATGGCCTTGCCATCCTTAGATTTCCTACGCCTTCCTCCTAAAATCTTTTTCGCAAATTTGGAAATGGTGGATGCAGATAAACCATCTTTATAAGATTGCTTTAATGTTCCAGCACCGGAAGATGGTGCATATAGCACAACCATTTTGTTTAAAAAATAATTTAATAAATAAACTCAGTATAGATTACTGATTAATCTGCCTAAGCGATTTATCTGCACACAGTAGAATGAAGTATACATGGAAATGGATTTAGAACACAAACTCAGACCAGAATCTACCTGCACTTGTAACTGCAATGACTTCAAGTATTCAATAGCTTCATCCAGCATTGAAGCTTTGTCAGACTATGAATTTAGAATAGGAACCAAAATTAGAAACAAAAACTTAAGGAAATAAAATCTAAAACTCTTCCCATTATATTCTCAAGAAATAAAAAAACTTATAAATTCAAAAAGTCAGTTTACCTTATTACAACGAGGTATAAGTTCTTGCAGAGCTCTCATCTTTTCATTAATCCGATCACGACGCCTCTGTGTGCAAGTGCCAAGTGAACACTTTTACTTTCTGAGAAAAAAGGAATAAAAGATGTGAACTCAGAGAAGAAATGAAAGTACGGACCCTCTCTGAGAGATTATGGACCTCGGCAGCACGTGATCTCTTTGCAAATGTTGATCCACGAGTTTGTTTCTTTGCTTCTGATTCAAAATCAACATCCTTTTTCCAGCAAGACAAAAAGAAACGAGAATATAAAAGAAACAATTAATAAAATTAAAATATAAACAAATTGTAGAATATTTATAAACAAATTAAAAAAGTGAATAACATAACAACGGCATGTGTCATCAACTGCTGTGACACAGGCAACTGGTGCTACAAATATAATTTGTCCATGTCAAGACATGCATCATGCCTCCTCACCAGTCAGTGGTATGTTTGTAGTTTGGACTATAGTTCACCACACTTCAAACCCCAACTTAGAGAATACAAATTGAGTTCCATCTCCAATTTGAACATAACGATAACATCATTTGAACATTCACAAATAATTTTTTAAGAAATAATTCTTATCATCATATAATAATAATGGATCGTACAGTTAATCATATTATGTTAACAATTATTTTAGAGTAGTATTTGATGTGTTGTTATCACTAAATAGTAACGGAAACTATTTTAAATTTGTAGACTAAAATCAGCATCTTTTTTTTGAAGAACAAAAAACAAATAACATCACATTTATAATAACAAGAAAGTATTATACCCGGCTAATTTTGATTCATTAGTGTACACTATTATTAAATCATGCCTCGTCACATTAGTAATAGAAATCTCCTCTAACAATAACTGCTCAAAAGGTTATGGCTTTTTTAATAATTTTAGACACACATGCAATTGAGTTGATGTGACTGTGCCACAAATTAATGCCTTACTTGAGTACTCATTACCCATCCATAATTTCCCAGAAAACTAGATTCGACCAAATGCAGGATGAGCCACTGCAATCATCACGGATTCTATAGCCATCAAAATCTTTACTTGTGATTTAACGTGGTAAAGTTGATTTATCAGGGAGTTGCCTTTTTTCCTTTCTCATTTGCATGAAAATATTTTGTAGGATCCAAGGTCACGTGGTCTTTGATTAATTTTCTTTTTCATTTGCATACTTAGACTTCCAACACCCCCTAAAACCAAAAAGAAAAGAAAAATAAATTAATTGCGTATTTAAGTCAACTTATTTTAAAAATAATAATTTATTTATGCTAATTTCACAAAAAAAAGTTTTTTTCAATTATGTTTCCATTAAAATTTATCTTAAATAGAAGTTGTTCCTAACATGAAATAAGTACTTTAAGAGCATTTTATATTGTAAATTTAAGGAGCTGTTTGATTCTTAAAAATATTTTTTATTTGTTTCTTTCTAATTAAAAATTATCATACCATTTTTTATCTTTTAACTGTTATATTCGTTTTTAAGAACTAAAATATGATTACACTTTTATAATTAAAAAAATCAATCTACGTCCTACGGTATGAGAAGGGGTCAATTCCAACAGTGTACACACTGCAATTATGCAAGTCATCAAATCTTTCACTTCAACAAAACTACTACCTTTTAACTATATTCAGATTTTTATAATTAATTTGGAACATTGAAAAATATCTTAAAAGTTTCTAGCGGAAAAATATCATCCAATATTTCCATGAACAAAAGTATATAATTTATTACACCATACACGTGGCGCGGCCGTACGTGGCCGCGAGGTGAAAGTGACGGTACCAAAAAGGCACGGCCACAGCCACGGAATCCCAAAGTTATATGTTCAATGCAGCGGTGATGGGAGTGCTCGCGAAAACCCACGTCGCACCCCCTGCGCACAATAGCCAACGCATAGGGAATGTGATGTGAGAGAGGGACAAAGAAACAAAGCAGAGTCAACTCACTCACCTCGCTCTGACACTCCCATTCCTCTGTCTCCCGACCCTTCCGCTTCCGCTTCCGCTCCTGCGCCGCCGCCATCTGAACCGGTTCGCCGCTGCTACTCGAGCCGCCCAGCGATGACGTCATCGTCAAATCGCACATCATCGTGCTCCTTGCTCCGCCGGCACTCGTCGTCGAAGGCGCCGCTGCACCGCTGGGTTCTTCCGTCGGCTCTGCCGAGCTTCTCACAGTCTCCGAAACTCTCGAAGCCGCCGCCACTTCCGCCGTGGCGGCAGGCGTGTCGCACGAATCCACCACCGTGGACTCCCTCGCGGCGGTCTTCGAAGTCGACGACGGCCCCGGCTCGGCTCTAGCATTGTGCCTCGAGAAGTACGCGAAGTTCGGCGTCTTGGGCGGCGCCTCTTCCGTCCTCCTAGGCGGCGGAATCGGAGGTCGAGAAGCCATCGACGCCGGCGTCTTCCGGAGCTCCGTCGGCTGAGATGTACGGGCAAGATTTTGCATGACACTGTTGTGATTAACGGTGGGCGGCGGGCAGAGGAAATCGGCGCAGAAGCTTTGATCCAAGGGAGAATCATGATCGTCGATTGGATAGTGAAGCCAGGAAGCCATTTCTCCTTCTTGCATGAAGAGATGTTGATTGTAGTTGTGGACCAGCGGTGGAACCTCCCTCGGCGTGGATGGACCGGCGAGAGTGGCGTGGTTGGAATTTCTCTGCGTCGGCGTTTTTCTGAGAGGACGGTGGTTCTGGCTCTGCATGACAACCTGACCGTTTTGCCATAGCAGCTCGATGATGTCTTCTTCTGCACTGTTTGAAATTTGAATTTGACGAGTGGTCGTTAACTAATTAAACGACAGAAAAAGAAAAATAGGTAACAGAGAAGTTACATGGAGGGTTTGTTTTGGTGAGGTAACCCTGAAGGCATGAGAATCGGGAACTGATCCTGTTCTTCGTCCATTTGAGTTTGGAAATCTGGAACACAGTGATTTTGATTCATATAAATAAAAATAAAGATAAGAAGAAGAAGGGAGGGAAGTGGGTGAAGGCCAAAAAGGACAGCTGACGGAGAGTTGAATGGAGGTGCAGTCCAGAGAGAACGCGTTCGTCGGTCTTCCTTTTCTTCTCCCTCTTCCCACCCACAGATAAGATCTCTCCCTCCCAATAATGCAAACCTCAAATTCTTCTTTAGTATCATTCCATATATCATGTTGTAATTAAAATAATAACATCAATTATCGTTCAAAGTTTATGAAAAACAAAACAATTTAAATAATAAATTTAATTATACTAGATATTATTACTCTTAAACTATTCAAATAGTATACATATTTTATGAAAATAGGAGAGTATTAGAAGAAGAACACCAAGAAATAAATTGAACCAAAATACTCCCCTCATCCTTTTTTTTAAAATTAATGACATTAAATTTATTAACAAATGAAGAGTAATATCCTACTTGTTAATCATCCTTTACTAAACATGCATTAATTATTAAAGGTAAAATTATTATTTTATACAATAATAAAAATATATAAGAAATAAGTAAACTTACTAAAATATAATAATATAATAATCTAATCCGTTAAAAAAAAACCTGTTTTGTGAAGTGTGCGGATAGAGGAGCATAGATTCTGGAGTGCGTGCTATGGGGGGCACGACTTGCTGTGAAGGAGCCCACCACACACTTTGGTAATAACTAATAAGTGACACCAAACTACTTATTAAAGAAATAAAATAAATTCTTTAATTTATTCAAATTATTAAAAATTATAGTACTATTAATTCTAAAATAATTAACAATATTTAGAAAAAAATGTATTAAATATTAAATAAACACTTTCAAACAAGCCATGGTAAATCATTTTTTCACTCCAATTTTTTATTTTTATTTATAATCAATGATCCAATCATTTCCTCGTACGTATTATTGACAATTTTTAGTGTTACTTTTTTTATTATTATTAAAAACAGAGTTTTATTTTTGTAATGTACAATAGAGACAGGTAATCAGTATTAAAGATATTTTTTTGCGCTAAAACTTTAACCTTAATTATAGAATAGTAGTAAAAGTATTTATCTATATTGATCTTAAGTCTTATCTTTATTAAAATTAATAAATAAATTAATTTCGATAAATATTAATTAAGTTTTAGGATATTGAGTAAAATATTTTTATTTTTTTTCATAAAATTTCCGAAATATAATATAATACAATACGTGTCTGAGTGTAGGTTAATAGTAGGTATAAAAAAGAGTTGAGCATTTTTTTAATGATATTTTATCGAATGTGATTGTGTGGATCACAATATTATATTTAATAACATATTGTACACGCCCGCTAAAATCGATTTCTATTTTTGTATTAGTTTGTTATTTATAAGTTAGGATGATAAAAAAAATTAATTTAAATATAATAATAATATAACTATTTTTATAGTTTTATTTAATCATAAAATATCATATAAATAATATTTTTTTATAATTTTTATAAATAATTAATATAAAATTTTATATTATATTATAATTAGTTGATAGTATGAAATATGTTACACCAGCAATGTACTAAGATTAAACTCATAAAAATATTTAATTTTAGTATAAATATGTATAAAAATTTAATATTATTAATTAACTAAAATATACGGTATATATATTATAGAATTATTTTTTATTAATATAATATTACTGCTTAGACAACAATATTAACATTTTAATTCTTTTAATGCATTTATTTAAATTTTTGAAAATTGTGATCATATATATATATATATATATACCCATGACACTCAGAAGACAGGGTTACAGATGGACACAGGGCAAGAATCGCATCTTCTAAAACTCTCAATTCATTTGAATACTAAATCAATAAATAAGAGTCTGAATTCCAAGAGAGTAAGTTTGAATACATTTTAAACAAACAATCAAATTATATTTAGTGGGTGTGATATTTAAGGATTCTCTCACCTGCAGTTGCTTTCTTTCTACTAATACTATAGTATAAAAATTTGATATGTGTTTTTTAAATCACAAGCATTTTACTAAAAAGAGGTATTCACAAAATTCAAATCCAAAACTTTTGTTGAAACAAGACAGACATTGTGTTTTACTTGAAACAATCTGTTAATTAATATAAATTTTTGATGATTACACAGCACTAATTAGGCAGGGTCTTCTACTTCCGAAAGGGGCTCGCGTCTCAACCAGTGAATGGAGAATATACCAAAGCCAATTCAGCCATTATTTTTTCAAGTTGTGATTCGTTGTGTAGAGCTAAGGAAATGGTGCCTTTTGGAAGTGCAAAGCACTATTAACAGGTCAGATTGTCACCTACAGAGTGAAAATCTATATAATTGGAATCAATTTAAATAGAGTTTTCATGGTGATCAACAGGTTTTTTCTTGTATTTGACAGTTACTTTCAAATTTGGTCTTAGTTACAATCCTTTGTGAGTCATAATTCCTCAAAAAAGTAACAATCTCCAAATATCCATTGTTGTGGAGGATTAAACTCTTCTACATATGATGATATTGTGAAGAGAAAATGAGGAAATTTGTTTTTTTTTATAAATAAAATATGAGAGGAAAATAATCTTGTATATCGTAGCTAAAAAGTTTTTTAATCCCCAGTTATGAGAAAAATATAGGAGAGAAGGAAGTTTATATAAAGGAAAACTTTATTTATTTATCTATCTTTTTTGGTTTCTTAAAATTTTCCCAGCATGATTTAAAGTGAAGATCTCTCTTAATAGTATTTTTTATACATATAAATTTTAAAATTGAATCTAAAATAACATGTTTTAAAAATATAAATTTCTTCTACCCAAATTAATACATTTTAGATATACTTATCCAATCATTTGTTTGTCGGTAATATTAACAAGTTTAAAATTATTTTTCAATAAATTTAATTTTTATTAAATAAGAAAATATATTTATCTTTATTTAAACAATCGAAATAATTGTTTTTCTTTTACTCTCATCACATCCAAGTAATAAAACTCTTTGAAATGATTTTTTCAACATTCGCGATTTATTGTTTTTGCACGATAATAACTTGTTAATATCTGATTTTATTCAAACACTCTTTTCATCTCAATAAAACTACTTAATAATAATATTACAGTTAATATAATACAGAACGTCGTAGAGCTTAAACATTTAATAATAATAAGTTTTTATTAAAAAAATAAATTTATTATACTTTTGTATTTTTATTATAATATACTTTTTAATAAAATTTTATTACATTTAAATATTTAAAAATGTATGTTAAAAAATTTGATAATTAATTTTTATATATTTTAATTAATTAATAATATAAATTTTTATACTAACAATATATTAAAATTAAACTCTTATATTATTATATTCTCATCGTTTAGATCTTTCACTTTTTATAAGTTTTTCTTATCTTTCATTTTTTTAAGTCTGAAATAATATTAATTATATTTTAAATTAAAAAATAAAAATTCATTAATAATAAAATAAAAATATAACTAAAAGAATATATATCACCTGAATCATAATTATTTAAGTAATCGATAAACAAAATATAAATACATAAAAATTAATTATAAATATTTTTTAAATAAATAATGTTTTGAGATTCACTAATTTTTTTTAGTATTATAAAATTAATAAAAATGACAATTGTAGAATAGATTATATAAATTGTGGTGGTATCGTACTAGACTATAGTAGTAATTAGTTAACATAATTTCATTCTTTTAATGATAATTAGTTTATTTTTTATACTGAATTGAAAAAAATTAATTTTTTGAGTCTTCATTTAGTTATATTAAAAAGTTACCGAGTAATTTTAAAGTCTAATTACTTAAAAATTATGGATCTTATTTTGAATAAATTAAAATTAATTAATTTTAAAACGTGTTTAATTTTATAAAATATTTATTATTTCATGTAAAACTTTTTTTATATACCTGATATATTGTCGAAGAAATTAATTAAATGTTATTAACTCATTTAATACTTAGAGTCTTAAGATTTCTTTCATCTTTTAAATGATTATCATGGAGTAATTTTTAGTTTTAAATAATTATATATTTTATAATTTATCTTTCTATTTTATTTTTTATAAAAAAAGTGAAGAGTAAATGCCCAAAAATAAATGGAGGAGCAAGAGAAAAAGCTCCTATACAATAAAGTATCAGCATTTTGTGGTAATTCCATCGGCGACAAGTCATAAATCACTAGTCCCGTCTGGTGAGAACAACTTAGCTGAAATCTCCACACTTATTTAGCTTCGTCATGTTGCGCTGTAGCGTTGTAATGATCTCCACTGTTATTACTCTTCCTTTAAAAGCTAGTTCCAGCACTGCTTTGGGCTACAACTCTAGAGTCTATATGAAGCACCATTTTCCAAATCCCAATCACCATGTAGCTTTAGTCTCTGTCTATCCACCGTACCCGTTAACTATGCTATATATGCAAAAGTGAATCCTAAGGTTCTCGTGAAGCCTCGATCCATCAGTGTCAAGCCAAACTCATTCATTGCCAGATGAGTACACCTTTTTTCCAACTAAACAGATTTTCTTGCTAATGTACTGTGATTGTGCTACTTGGCTTTGTTTAATAAGAAATGCTACTAATTAACATTTCCTAAAGAAACATAATCAAATATCTGGAATATATATATAAGCAGACCTTGATCAGGAAATATTTCGTTAAATTGAAAGGGGGCGGGCAATGGGGAATGGGGTGGCCGACAGAAAGACACAAGTCCTTGTGGGTATTAAAAGGTGGATTATAGCTCACAATTAGAAAAGTTGTGGAAGAAGAATCTTTGCCATTGATCTCCTAATATGTGTTTTTTATGGACATTGTATATGTCATAACAATTTCTTTGTAAATGGTGTGCCTATGAGGGAAACAGCCAAAAATAAATAAATAAATAAAAGTATAACCTTGTCAAATTGAAAAACTAGCATGCTAGTGAAGATTCTATTAACCCAATTCTCCCATGCCAGTTCCCGTTTTTGTCCTTGGAAAGTTCTACTTCTACAACAATAGCCTCACTGTCGTCATCAAATGCTTTATGTTTATATTATGAAACAGAGGTATACATATTTATTCTAATAAGAGAAATGTGTTTTATGTTTATATTATTTTTTTAATAAGCAAAATAGTTTTATTAGAAGTTTGAATACAAC